TTGATGGAGATCTTACTCTAGTCAGGCCTATCATAAAAGTCAGTTAACTTGCTCCTAAAATTTGTCTTGCTGGCTTCATAATATTACTGCTTGTTTTTATCCTTCTGACTTTAACTCCTTTCTCATTCATTAGTGCTCAAATTGTCAAATGCAGTTTGACATGCTTTTTCTTTGCCTGCCCAACATGACTTTATTGTGTGCTGAAAGAAAACCACCCTGCCTGAATTTGCTGTTGTAAAGATGCCTTGAAGTGTTCTGTATGTTTCAAGTGCTATTGGAATTTCAAAGGTGATGAAGCAGTTGTGAAAAAACAGCATCCCACTTAAAGCATATAAATGCAATAGTTTTTGAAGTTAACCCTGTGACTTACACATGTTAGGGAGTTTGGATTCTTTTTGCCATTTTACATTACACATGTAATTTTTTTATGTGTACTTACATTGGTTTTAGATGTGGCTGAATATATCACTTTACTGTGCCAGTTTACAGCTTAAACTTTAGTTCTGTGCTGAAATAGAGTGCTTTCTGGCAGAGCCAGCTTAGGTATTAGCTTTTATAACAGCTATGGTTCAGTGTCTTAAATCGAAGAGGGCAATATACTTAACGCTTAAACTGTTTCATATAAAATGCTGTTGAATTTGTTTAATAATGCATGCTCATTTTTGTACAACTCTACAAGTTGTCTGCCTTCTAATTAGCAAAGATTTTATGTAATTAAAATTATAATTTCTTATGCAATTTTAGGTAGAGGTGATATTCTATGACAGGATCTGTGTGTACATTATGACAGCCTTACTAATTTTGAGTGGAGCTTCTTGATAACCAAACCTGTCAGCTTCTCAGTTCTTCGTGTTCGCTCTGTAGTACCAACAACTAGAGATATTGAGCGTGATCTCTTACCTTTCCAAGGGGTACCACAAGCTGAGGAGGTTTGTCTGAGCTCTTCCTTCCCACTCTAGAAAGGCATATTCATGTCATCATTTTTTCCCTTGTGTTTGACCATCCCAGGTGGTAGAAGGATGACTTTTAGAGTTGAGGAACTGAAGGAGACCTGAATTTGAAGAGAAAATGACACTGTTGATCAAAAAGATCTCTGTTACAAGTCCTACATGTCCAGTAATACACAGTATTTAAGTTTTACTGCAGTGTAACTGGCAAGCTTGTGGCAAGCCAGAAAACTTGGCACTGTGTTTCAGCAGTGGAAACTGGCTCTGCAGAATCTGTGTCCTTTCTTCCTGTCCACTAGTTGCTGTAGTCCGGGATGTGTAGTTGCCAGAGGCAACCCTGGCATTAATGTTGCGGTGGCTGCACTGTAAGATGGCTGGAATAGAAATTCAGTGCATAGTGTTTTTGGAGATCTCTAGTATTTCTGAGTGTGATTAGGCAGGTGTCTGTCATTCCTTTCTAAGGCCCTCGTAAGTCAACGAGACAGGAAAAAATCTCGGCATGGTTTGTCACTGCTCCATTCAAAACAGTTGGAACAACCTGGCACTCTCACAGCTTTTATTCTAGGAAGATGCTGTAATTGGTCTCTTGAATTTACACTACTAAGTAGGTTGCTGAACTCCCTGTCCCCTTTAAAGTATCTCTGACTACCAGAGGTTGTTAGATTGAAATTACAGGTTTGTTAAGCAATGATTTGTCACTAGACATCATACTTACATCGGTATAGCTTGAGGATTTTATTAGTTAAATTACCACAGCTTCTGAAAACCTTAGTTACAGATCTAGAAGTCCATTGCCTTAAGTTGTAGAAATGTAAGATAAAAGATAGTCTTAAGTGGTTTACAATGAAGTATTGGGCAAACAACAGTAGGTGAGTACTCATGAGGTATTTTGTGTAGTGGGTGCAGGTAGACATGAGCCTGTGTGTGGTTTAAGTGCCGAAATAAAAAACAGCTTTGATCTGGGTGTCACGTGAGCAGCAAGTGAGATGCTTTTTTTAAATGCTGTCCTAGTGTGGATGTATGTTTTCTGAGATGAAGTTGGCATGCATTTTTGTCCGTCTTGGTGCATGGGCAGAATGTCTGTATCAGTCTTGCCTGTTCTTTTCCTTGTTCAGATGCAGTCTGTGCGGTGTGATCTAAAAAATTTCTTCTTTCTGGTTCTCCCTCTCTCCCCAGCTTCTCATTTTTTCTCAAGGAACCATCACAATTTAGGCTTTTGCACTCAGGCTGTTAGCGCAAGCTTGTACTTTATTTCCCCACTGCCCCAAAGGGTAGTGGTATTTTAGGTTTGTGTGAATGGGAACTCCAGAATCCTCTTCTGATGTTACATGGTTTCTTTTCTGAAGCATATGTCATTAATTTAGATTGTGCGACTCCTCTGAATGGTAATAGATTCCCCCCTCACGACCCCCCGATTTACTATCCTTGTGTCTGCTCCTGCCTGTCCATGCTCAGATCAGTGCTGTCAGTATGCCACTAAACTACCAAAATAGCTGGGTTCTGCAGGAACAGTGAAATTTAGTCATCTTTTCCTTTTGTACCGATTTGTTACCAGCTATTTATTAAATCTGATGATTGCAAGTCTTGAGAGGCTTTATACAGCTTTTTTTTCTTTAAAACTTTTAGAAAACAGGTGAAAGGTAAAGCTGTCAGAAGGGTGCTCTAGACCTTGAAAAGAATTTCAGTCCACTCTGAAAGAAATGTCTGATACTGAAGAATGTCCCTGAACTAAAAGCTCTTTTTTGGGAAGTATCCAGGATATGCAAAGGAGGTCATTGCATTCATGTACTTGGGGAAAAAAGCAGATTTTTTATCTGTGATGTTAGAATGGACAGTCAATATCAGAATAATTTGAAAAGTATTTTGAATCCTATCTCATGCGCTTTGAGAAGGCAGGCATAATGGGACCTTTCATGTCTCAAAAAACCCAGAACTTTTTTTTAAAATTTAAAAACCAGTGTATCATCAGTTTATAAGTTCATTGCTACTTTGTCTTGAAATAAGCTATTTTTGAATAGTATAGCTCCTTTTCTTGATGACTCTGCCTTTCAAAATGAGCCTCTGAACTGAGCCTTTTTTTCCTTTGAGCAGAATTTCCTTAGTAATAGCAGTTGAGAAGCAGAGCTCTTCAGGTTGTCTAGAGTTACAATTTAAAAAAAAAAAGCAACACACACCTTTGAAAGCCAGATGCAAGGTACTGTACGTCACTGGGCACTATAAAGGCAATGCCTCGGTGGCTATTAGTAAAACTTCCAGAATAACTTTCTCAGAAGTGTTCGTGTAGCTCAGAGAAAAAAGAAAAGGAGAAAAAAAAAAAAAAAGCTTGGTCTTTTCTGAGTGTATCACCAGTCTTAGATTTAGAGGAGTATTCAGTTGCCTGATTTTATTTCAACTTGTGGTATGGGTGATGTGAGTTATTTTTGGATCACACTCTATAAGTAAATGCAACTGGATCCTGCAAGAGCCATCAAGAGGCAAATGGCACGAAACTTTGAAGTAGTTTTGTAAATCTTCCTCTTGAGGCCTTGTCAAATTTGATTGGATTGAGAGGGTGACTCTTTTGTCCACCGTATAAAGCCAGATTAGAAATTAAGTTTCAGACAAGTAATACCAGTTCCTATTTTCTCAAGAGAGTCTTGTTGAATGTAAACGTGTTTCACATGTATCTTCATCTACATTTTGGTTATTCTGGTTCTCAGTAATTCTGATTTTAGTGCTTTATTGATTTGTATCTTGGTATTTTGTGTCAAGACTGTTTAGGACACTCTCAAAATCAAGGATTTGGAATGAGACTGAGTTATAGAAACAAAGCCATTGGTCAGACAGTGAGCACTCTAGTGTAGTAACATGTTTGATAGTGACCAGTACCATTTCTTTCAGAGTAGTCCAGTAATCTCTGTGGAATAAAGTGTTCAGAAAATAATTTAATACCTTTTGTCTCATGCAATTAGTTTTTTTGTTGTACCTTACCACTTGTTCGTATCACATATTTTTCATCCAGTTTAATAAAAAGTTTGCTTTCTTTGTGTTTTTATTCAATGGAAAAGTAGTTGTCATATTCTCAATACTGATGAAAATTATTTTATAGTAATTCAATGTGTAATTTTTAAAGAACAATAAGGTTCTTAAAAGTTAACGTACATATGAAATATTACTGAATAAATTTCATGTTCATATGAAATTCCATTTTCTAAGTTACATTCTTTTAGTGCCTGTGCCGTCTTGCTTTCAAGTGACACAAGCATAAAGGAGAATAACACAGAACACTGTGAACTTTACTTGCTTTTGTGCTGTTACTGTATGGCATCCCATGGAGGTGATCTCCGTTGGAAGACGTGCTTTTGCAGCTTGACATTGAAATTATGCCTCTTGTCTGATCCAATCTTAGAGGCAGTTCCTATCCTAATGGTTTAACAAAAAGACAGTTTAGAGAATACACTGCATTGAATATGTAGATATGGCAAGTAGAACTTCTTTTCTGTGGATCAGTTAGAGTATGTGCATAAACAGAGTATCATCTCTCTTGCCAATTTTGAGTCTAAAACATGAGGTTGATGTCTGTTTCTGTTAAGTCTATAGGAGCTCAGAAGCACAATAGAAGTTGAAATCTCACCAGCAGTTAGTATGTTTCAGTATCACAGTGTTTTCTTTCTTTAAACATTTGAAAGAGTTCCAAAGTATGTGTTGCTTCTGTTCCTAAAGAAAAATCCAGCAAGATTTACTTTTGCATGTGACCATTACCTTCTAGGTATTTAAAATGTTAAGAATGATTTGGTAAAATTAGCATATGTATATATAAACTTTTTGCACCAGCAGCTTGTGTTTGTCATGCTATTTAAGAGTTTTGTTCGCTGCTGTAATTTGTATTATTATAACTAAGGTGATAGAGCATGCTTTGCATGTAACAGTATACATGCTTAACAGATGTATGATTTAACCTACTTTTAGAAGTTTGTTGCCATCAAGTTGTATTTTATGAGTAATTTGTACTGCATAAACAGATTTCTTTTCCAGAGATACATGCATATTTAAAAAAACCAACCCTTTTTTCAGGTCCCTTTACAGATGTAGTAACTACGAATCTTAAACTACGAAATCCATCAGATAGAAAAGTATGCTTCAAAGTGAAGACCACAGCACCTCGTCGATACTGTGTGAGGCCAAACAGTGGAATTATTGACCCAGGATCATCTGTAATTGTTTCAGGTAAAAACAAAATCTATGCAGTTGTAGGTTAAGTGGTTTTACTCCTATCATGAAGTTCTCTAATGCTTGATCTTGGAGGCTGTTTGAAGTATGTCAGCTTTTTAAAAAGATTTTTTAAAAATAAAACTGTCCCCTTCATTAATGCAATACCAACTTGATGTAGAGATGCAATGATACATAAAAAACCTCCATACAGAAATACTTGCCATTTGTCACATTTATCTGCAACTCTCTGGAAGGAGGAAAAGGAAGTTGGAAATGGGTAGTGACATTAACAGTACCTTTGCTTCAGACTGCTCATGCTTATATCTTGAAGTAGGGCATTGCTTGGCTGCTCTGATGTGTTTGAAGTTTAACATTTGATAGTTTGTTGCATTAAAAAAAAAAAAAATTCATGATTGTAGACTATTTTTTTTTGACCATAGTATTGGTCCCTGAACTCCATTGTTTCATAATTCTTCCATTTATCACAGTAGTATATGTTAAGTGGCAATCATTCAATTGCTTTAAAAAAATTATATTTTCTGTTATTTTAGGTAGGTAGAGCGGTTTGTAGCCCTTAAGTTTGAAAAATCTAGTACTTTTCACTCCTTATTCTGTTTTTTGTTGAGGGGATTAAAAAAAGAATCTTTACTTTTCAGCAGAGTGTGAGCCCTGAAGCCAGACAATATTTTCTTGGGTTTCCCCCGCCTCCCCACCCCGAAACTCCATGTAGATTTGGCTTACATACTGCATTCTGACAATCTGCAGAATTTTGATAGCTGGAGGTATAATGGTCGAATTCTCTACTGGACTGTATAATGTCAAAAAGACCAGGTGTTAGTAATTGTCAGAGTAGACATTCTTAAGAAAACAGGGAAAGACTACGTATCAGTCTTCTGATTTGGTAAATGATTTTCGTAGATCATTCACCTGATCATGTTGAGGTAGGAATCTCCAGTAAAAAGGGGATTCTCAAACCAGTGACTGTAAGAGGTGAGAAACTCTGTATTTTTCTGGACCTACAATATTTCCCAATTTAGAGAGAGGGGAATCCTCTTTTTATAGGCTGTGGTCTTATAGGTTGTAGAGAGCACAGAGGCAATACAGGTGTGAGCTTCTACATCTCCCAGGTCTAGAAAGCTGATTTTTGTAGAACTGTTGGAGAGCTGTAGCAAAGCAAAAGGGAAACCTGGATCAATCCTCAGAGCTTTTGAGATTCGTATGCTTATTACCCTTTGGGAAGTTTAAAAGAAGCTGGGGAACTAGCTTCAGATACGTTCAAATGTTGCAAGGAGTAACTCAGGAAGACTTTATATTTGATTGATTAAAACCTTCGAGTAACTTTCCTTGTAGGAGAGACACTAGTTTTCTAATCTAATATGATCTGTAGAATGTGACCCTTTAAAACTTCATTAATTACTTACCCTGGACAGTCCAGCATCTTGTGGATGAAAGATCATTTTACTGAGAATTGGTTCAAGATTCAAGTAGTCAAAAGCCTACTTTATTTCAGTCTTCAGCTTTGACTTTCAGCCATTTTGTCTTAACTGTGTATTTGATGTGGTATCAGGGATCTTTCTCGTGGGTAGTCATACATCGTGATGAAGATACTGTTGGATTTTCTCTCCAGGGAATTGAATAGATTGAAGTATTCCATTTGTCTATTGTAAAGTGTGTTTTCATAGTTATAAATCATCCTTTTAACGCTTTGAACATTTAAGTTTTTCAAATGAGGCAATACTGGAGCTGTAAACAACATTTCAGCTTCAAGTTCACCAATAAAGGGAAACAGTATTATACTGCTCAACTCTTCAGTTTGCGTAGCAGGGAATCTTTGATATCTCTTTTTCCTCTATTAATGGATTCTCATGCAGTTATTCAGCTACAGGGACCCCAAGATGCTTTCACGTGCAGTTGTTCAGTTATAGTGACTCCACAATGCTTTTCTGAATTAAGTTCTCTTCCCTGAAGTGTCAGCTTCATCCTTTTGTTTTTAAGGATATAATTTCTTTTGGGTCACTTGGTAAGCCAAGTGCGCAGATAATTTTTCTAAAGACCTACTTTGTTATCTCATCCATCTCTCAGCTGAATGTTTTCAGTGCTGACTCATCTTTCGTATAATTAAAAATAGCTTTCTCACACATTGTTGTGCAGAGAGGGATCACTATGGCATACCATGGGCTGAAACTCTGTGTTCAAAACTAAATGTTGAGGTAGTGTAAGCTGTCTTCAGTCTGTATAATGCGTTGTGCTGATTCAGAGTCAAGCCAGTTTTTAAATTCATTGTTAGAGATGTGTTTAAACAGTCATTTTAAGGAAATACATGGGCATTTTTATCATTCAGTTGTGAATCAGTGAGTAACCTTCTTCAGCCATGTTTATACATTTTTTCTAAAAATCCTAATTTGATAAGACCTGTTTTTCTTTACCTTGATGCCCTAAATTAACTACTTGTTATCGTATCATGTATGGCTTGTTGTCAACTTGTTAACAACAATTGTGTATTGTTGATTTTTCGGAATATAATGTGACTCTTGTTCCTTCACAACTTGTTACTATTCTTCCTTCTGGTTTTCAGACTCAACCTTAAGATTTATTTTGTGGAGATGAAGCCCTCCTGTGTAGAGAACCTAGGCCTATTAACAACAGGCTTGTTTTCATAACGTATTTGTTGCAGTTCCCCTAGAAGTGTTTTCTGGACTACTCAAGGATTCCAAGAACATGTTGGAAACTGTGGCTTTGTATATTCATGAGATTTTCCATGATTACTTAAAACTGTGAAGAGGTTGAAGAGCTCTTTGAATTTGTGGATTGTCTTTTTCTGCTGCTTTTCAATTAAATCAGATTTTCAGCTGTTACTGAGGGGTCAAAGAACATAAAGTTATTTAACTAGTTATCCAAGGATTCTGCCAGCATGTGAAGAAGTTCTCTGACGATGGAAAGCTGTCTTTGCCATCTTTCAAGTTACTCCATCTGTTCCCTTGGCTTTCGGAAACTGAAGTATGACATGCTATTCAGTAGTCTGTTGATGGAACAATTCTTAGAGATAAATTGCTATAGCATCCATACCTGGAAGAAGCATTTAGCTTGATCGGTTATGTTTTGGACCACAGTGAGACCAGTGATTAAGGAGACCTGACTTTTAAACCTTGCAAAATAAGGTTATTTGAAAGCATGTCAAATACTGCAATTCCTTTAAGTGATTTATTTGTGAAATATGCCTGATTCAGATTATTCACTTATCCTTTGATTATGCTGTATGTAACATTTAAGGGGGAAAAAAAAAAAAGGTATCCATCCTGTAGCAAATACCTGCAACTTCTAACTAGTAACTAGGCCTACAGTTAGGTGGCAGTGTAATTAAATTTAGAAGTAACTTTTTTTTAATGGGTACTAGTGATTTGGAAAGGCCAAGTTAGTAATTTTGAAACTGTACTTATTACTTATTCAGAATTGTGGAAAATATAATTGAATTGTTGAAAACTGTAGCAGTATTGAAGTCTACAGACTGAATTGGTTTAGAATATATGGGAAGGTTGTTCAGAGCATACAATGTGCTTTTCTAGCTAAATCAGTATTTCTGCTATAACTTTTTCATTGCTGCACTTTGGCCACAACAACCCCATGCAATGCTACAGGCTTGGGGAGGAGTGGCTGGAGAGCTGCCCAGCGGAAAGGGACCTGGGGGTGCTGGTTGACAGCCGGCCGAACATGAGCCGGCAGTGTGCCCAGGTGGCCAAGAAGGCCAACAGTGTCCTGGCCTGTATCAGGAATAGTGTGGCCAGCAGGAGTAGGGAAGTGATTGTGCCCCTGTACTCGGCACTGGTGAGGCCGCAGCTTAAATAGTGTGTGTTCCGTTTTGGGCCCCTCACTACAAGAAGGATGTTGAGGTGCTGGAGTGTGTCCAGAGAAGGGCAACGAAGCTGGTGAGGGAGCTGGAGCACAAGTCTTATGAGGAGCGGTTGAGGGAACTGGGGTTGTTCAGTCTGGAGAAGAGGAGGCTGAGGGGAGACCTTATCGCTCTCTACAACTACCTGAAAGGGAGTTGTGGCGACAAGGGTGTTGGTCTCTTCTTGGAAGTAACTAGTGATAGGACAAGAGGAAATGGCCTCAAGTTGCGCCAGGGGAGGTTTAGATTGGATATTAGGAAAAATTTCTTTACTGAGAGAGTGGTCAGGCATTGGAACAGGCTGCCCAGGGAGGTGGTGGAGTTGCCATCTCTGGAAGTGTTCAAAAAAAGTGTGGATGTGGCACTTCAGGACATGGTTTAGGGAACATGGTGGTGCTGGATTAATGGTTGGACTTGATCATCTTGAAGGTCCTTTCCAACCTAGTGATTCTGTGATTGAAAATAGGTAAATATACAGATACCTGTTGATAGGACTCCATAAATGTAATTCTTGGGGGTTTTTTAATCATTATCTGAAACTAATTCAGCTTCTTTTTTCAGTTTGTATAAAGATATACTGAACTGGAATTCCCATTCTATGGAAGACAAGTGTATGTACACTGTGTTAATAAATTATTAAAAATAATTTGTCCCTACAGTTCGCTCTGAGTCCTCATCTTCTGGTAGACCAGGTTGCAAGTGTACCCACATACACATATTTAAATATAATTTGTGTGGCCCTGTACTCCCATTTGGAGTGAGGAAACTAATTGTCTCTGAAAGGAGACAAGGGGGCTAACAGGATAGTTTGTTTCGGGGTCTGCTCCAGACAGACAGTCTGGTTGGAGGTAGTCTCTGCTGGTTGCGTATCCATCCCTCTGCTTCAGTAGTCCCCCAATACTACCATAACAAACATTGTGTATTCAGGTATTTCTGCAAACTCTTACATTATGCCCCTGGATATGCAACTATATCCTGTAAAAGTTCTAATCTCCTAGTCTGTATTGTAGACATCATGTTATTTCTGTCCCTTTGAACTAAAGAAAGCACACACAAAATAGTGATGCCAACCGCTATGTGGTGTAAAAACATACAGTCTGTTCCTGGGTGGCCTTGTACAGCTTGGATGGTTGGAGGTGCTGTGCTTCTGTAATTAAAGCTTTAATTTAAAAGTATCATAGTGCTGTAGAAATAATGGAGGCTATAAATACTGCCAGTGATGTAATTTTTTTCACTGAGCTTGTGCACACTTCGAAAGAATAGCTTTAGAAATATGAGTTTCTGTTCTTGACCAACAGAGTTTTCAACTTTGGAAAGCGGAAAGTACAGTAAAAAGGCTGTCATTCAGAAAGTCTGAACTGCTTGCATACTCTACCTCTGGTACTTGTAGCACAAACTATGTTGTGTCAAAAATGTCTGGTTTCATCCAGAAGACTTTTTTTTTTTTTAAATCTACATTACAATATGTTGAAAGATGAAAATGCAGTGAGAAAATAATAAGGTAAAATGCAAGGAGCTGGTATTATGAGTCTTATTTTAATGTTTCACTTAAAGCTGCCTTTACGTGGAAGTTGATTTGGAATCCCATCCCTCTTTCTTTGCTGGTAAAATGCAGTGGAGGCCCAAAACTTGCCATAGAATTGAAGTGTGTACCTGGATTTTGGAGTACTTCTGGACAAACATTAACTGTTAGACTGGACTTATGGTTAAGAATGTTAAAACCTGAGTAAAATGTGTTGTGTAGTTATTGCATAACTAAACATTACTAATGTAATAACTAATTAGTTATTATGTAACTAATAACTAAACCTATATTTTGCTCCCATCTTAGATTAATATACCTTTAGAAGTCAGTTGAATTTGCCCTACTGCTTGATGGTCTACCTAATGTAGGTTCTCTCTTTGCCTTCCCTCCCTGAGTAACTGTCATAATGTATGCTACAATTCTTTAACTTTGCATTCACTTAATCATAAAGTGTATTTATTCCAAAGAAAAGTCCTGTGGTGATTGCTTGGATTTTTTTGTGTCTGTCTTACAGGATCTGTGTTTTCATCTTTGTATATGAAATGTCTTTTAGCTATAGTAATTACAGAAATAATGATGTCAGCTACACCAGACTGAAAAAGATCTTTCCTCTCAGTACCTGTTGCTACAGTGTATATCTGCTCTATTTTCAGCACTGCTTTCGCATTTTAACTTTCAGTGTCTGTTCAGCGAGAAGGCAAATCTGAAGTGGATAGCATGCTTGTTACAGTGATTAGCTAAAGAATCACAGTTTTATACTTTATTTTTTTTCTTTGGAACAGTAATGCTGCAGCCTTTTGACTATGACCCAAATGAGAAGAGTAAACACAAGTTCATGGTACAAACAACCTATGCACCACCAAATATTTCAGATATGGAGGCAGTGGTAAGTAAAAATGGGGTAGAATGACTGTTGTGTATTTTTTTTTCTTAAAAACTCAGGCTTAAGTGTAAAGGAATCATGTTTTTGCAATTTACTTTTGGAGAAGAACTGGGTTTTCTCTGAACAAGTATGACTTCCATATGTGATTCGAAGTTTTTAATATTAAATACAAGCTCAGTTCTTAAAACTTGGCTCGTGAACTGGTTGAATGGAAATAGTAGTGAATCTAAGGTAAGGTCAGTTCAGTGTTAAAATATGGGCATGTTGTACCTTTCATGCAGCTAATCTGAAGGGAATAAATAGATTGTATTTGAAGGAATCAAGAATATATTTAAACAACAAGCCTGAAGCTGTATGAAATTGGTGTGTTCAGTCTGAAAAGTGTTTAAGTGAAATGTTGAATGGGATTATAATGAATGAAAACATTTGGAAGACTAAGATGTGTCTCTCTACAAGATACCAATTGGCTAAACAGCACAAATGATAGATTTATTTTCTGTTTTAATAGAACCTGTTGTAGATGCAGTTCCTAGGCTGAATTAGTCTGATGCAAGATCCAAAAAGAAGGTAGTTAGGTTTGTGCTTGTTCAGAAGTAAGGACACCTATTTCTGATGTTACAAGCTGGCAAGCAATGGGAAGGAAGCCTTCAGTTGTCAGAACATGCCCTTTTAGGGTGTATGTGGACTCTCATAAGCATGTATATTAAGGTGGAGGGGAGTGATTTACAGGCTTCTGTATCTAGCGACTGTTTTAAGGAATGCCTCAGCGTACACAGGTATGTTCAATACTCAAGGCAGAGGAGGAGAGCGGAAACAAAGGATAACAATGAGGTTTTAAAGATCACTAAAATCCACTAGACCTCTGCAGGTTTAGGCTCTGTCCCCTTATATGAAGGCAAAGACTACTGTGGCATCACTTTTTACTGGAAACAGTGGAAAACGTTTTAGATTTTGTTAAGCTTTTGAGACATGCAGCTAGAAAATTTACATCTCGCTTCCTTGTTGGTCTGGTTTACTTTTTCTTAATATACTCTGATAGCTCTTGGTTATATGTGGTAAGTGAAGTGTAACTATTTGTTGAGGATATAAAAATCCACTTTAGAAATACCTTTCAAGTAACTGCTTTCTCAGTGTGTTCAAGTACAGAATACTGAGAAACAGATCTTGCAGAAAATCTGTAATTGTACTTACAAGTTACTGCACAACTAATGCCACTGGAAAAAAAAAAAAGGATGTTATGAAAAGCCTGGATATTCTAGCCTGTAAGACCTGCAATTCTAAGGTAACTTTATATAGGACCTATTGTTGGAAAAATTGCCACAGATTTCAGATCAGTCTATGAACCTAAAGATTTAAGGCAACTACATGAATTGTATGCTTTGAAAGTTAATTGTCAGTTGAGCAGAGAGATTCCAGCATATTTCACAGTTATTTAAGTATATTGATAACCATTAGAATTTAAAATGTTTTTTATAAACAGTTTTGAAAAATTCTCTAGGCCCAAATTGTAATGTATTATTCAGTAAAAGGAAGAAGTGGTTAAAAATCTAAAATACGAAGAACTGAAGAAATTCAGTTACTGGAGCTAAATATAGTCACTAAAAGGTGCCTTTCAATCTTTTATTTAAAATTGGTGCTTCCCAGATAGGACATAAGGAGTACATTTACCAAGGAGTGATAGGGCTAGAACTTTGTTCTTAAACTGACTCAGATGGTATTTGTACCTCATTGTGTGTTAGAGGAACCGCTATATTGCCCCCTTCCTATCCCCTACAAACCTCTGGATCCATCCTTGCATTCAATTCACTCATTTCCATTTCCAGACTTAATTGACTATTTCTAGCTTTCATTACTTTGCAGTAGTCAAAGTGAACAAAAAAAACATTGTTCAGAAGCAAGTCTGAAAATTGCAGCTAGGGTAAGGACAGTATTCAACTGTATAGTAGGGGAGTACTAAGAGCAAGCTTACGAACTGTTCAGATGTTTACATGAGTCTGGCATGTTAAGTAACTATATTAATTGTTGTCTTAGTGGAAAGAAGCAAAACCTGATGAGTTAATGGACTCCAAATTGAGATGTGTGTTTGAAATGCCCAATGAAAATGATAAACTGGTAAGTAAGAGTAAAAAACTGTTGTTTTATGATCCTACACTGACTGGTAGGATCTCATGGAAATTTGTTTTGAAATTTTTTTAAACCTATTTGATTTGCTGATTAAATGGATTGTAGGAATTTGTACTAAATTAGACAGGAGGGGTGTTCAGTATATAACTTTTCAAGGATTTGTAGAATCATAGAACAGCCCAGGTTGAAAGAGACCGTGAAATACCACCTGCTCTAACCTTTTGTCAGAAAGGGAATGCCCTGTCCAGCTGCATCTTAAAAACCTCCAGCAATGGAGGCTAGTGCACAAAATTATTATCCTTTCATTATTTTTATTATTTATTTGCTTCAGCATTTTATTCCTGTCAAACTAAAAAAAAAAAAAAAAAAAAAAATCTTCAATACTGCATACAGTGAAAAGTGAATAGCGTCATTTGCTTTTTAAAGTATTAAATGCTTTTCAATTTTAAAAATTCTGTTTCTAATTCAACTGAATTAGAAAAGGAAGTACTGATTACAAAATAATGCATGCTTTGGGAATCCTAGATGCATTTTTAAGGTAGTGGTAAAGACAGATCATCAGACAGAAGCAAAAAAAATTCCATTACCATTTTCATGCTCTTGCCTTCAGACAAAATCTGTTCCAATTGTATAGGAGATGTTTTTATAGTAGTCTATAAGGCATCTTGGGGGAAAATAGCATGAATCCATGTATGTAAAAAACATCTTATTATTTATATGCATAAAGGGTCTCAGTGAAGGCTACTAGCTGGCTGGTAGCTGATTTTGCAACCATTCTTTAATACAGTTTTTGGAGTGTGATGTAAAGATGTTTTTCAGACGTGATGTCAGTATAATGTTTTTGTTTGTGTTGTTTTTATTCAGGTGTAAGCTGCCTAAGTGTGTGTTAAATGCTAAAACTGTAAAGGCATTTAGTTGTCTACTTTCTGTGTTTTTTACCTTGTTAAATTACATCTTTGATATTAGAAAAATTATACTCGTTTTTATTTTATAAAATGTATAATGTATTGAGAGAATTCTTGTGGATTATCCAAAACTACCTCCTTCTGTACTTTCTTTTAATGTGATATCTTCGTAGTATTGACTGTATGTAATATTTGTATTTTTCCAAGTAGCAGTGTAGGGCTGCTTTGGCAATTGATTTAGTCAATCCCTTAAACCTGGCAGTGAGAAATTTGCCAAGTCCTGAGGGTAAGCCTAACCTGCCACCTCAGGATATACCTACACCAGGACACAAGTATCTCACAACAACTTTCAGTATCAGCAACAACTTTCTTCAGGTGCCTGCCAGTCATAGCCAGAAGATTGACATGAAGAAACCAGTCATTGAGGTCAAACAGCAGGAGGTTTGTTCCAGCGAGATAAGACTTAGGTCTCTAGTGAGGTTTCGGTGCTACTAAAGAATTCAATTCAGCTAGCAAACCAATTAAAAAAGGGAACAGATCCTGATCTGCTCTGATATCTTTACTCTGATATAAATATGATGGTCTTTTTAAATCCAGTTAGGAGTATCTGTGTGGAGAGCAGGATCTGGCTCTTAGGCTATCTATGGCTGCATTGTCAAGAATGTAAAATGCAAGTAGGTGCTCTAGACTAAATCACTGCTACTTGCATAGGAGCTAAAGAAATTCTTGCATCTTTTTTAGTTGCTTTGTTATTACATAGATGTGTTTACCTTTTAGTAGGTTTTCTGTTGCATTTATTACTTACCTTAGACTACTCTGGTTATGAAAGATGCAGTATGATGGTGGTCTAAATGACATAGCTGTGTAGCCAAGCAAGTAGGAATACAGAAGCCTGAATCTGTATATGAGCTGTTTCTGAGTGTATTGCCATACGAATGCTGTGTTTTCACAAATGGTATCCCTGGCTATACAATTGAATCCATTGAATTATTACTGTCTAGTGAAGATCACGGTATATTTTGAGCAGAGCTGTGGGAACTAGATTTTTAATTTTATTTTTGTCCTTTTCGTAGCTTTTTATGTTACTTTTCACTTGTGTTCAAAATTGGTGATGTGTATTTCAGAGATGCTGTGAGACTTAATTCCATGTTTGTGCAATATTTTGTTTTCCTTCAGTAAAAGGTGCTATAAGTGCAAAATATTTGTGCCATACATACTTCATATTAGCTTGTGACACAACCTGTTTTCTTTTTACTTTGTTTTGTTTCTTACTATTGCAGGATTACTTTCTTCCTTTTATTTTTTCTCCTCAAGTTCAAATGCTGTTTGGTATATTTTACGCCATCTTTTGGATGCCTGCTGGGTCAGTGTTAAGCAGCTAAAGTATTAATTTTTGTCTCAGTAGTGTGTAGTACCAAATGTAAACAGTGTAATCTTCTCTTGCTTTTTAATACTTGAGCTAATCAGAATTGAACTTGTAACAGAAGTCTTTGTTCAGATTACTGTAAATATAAACTTAATTGTACTATATTAGTAGCTGCATTGTTTCAATTTTAAGCTGTGGATGATTTTTCTCTAGGTAAGTAAAATTCTCAAGTTATTCTTAATATTTGTAGAATGATATAGATGCAAGCAAACCTGCCCCAGTACTGAATACATCTAAGCAGGATGGACCGATGCCAAAACCACATAGTGTTTCACTTAATGATACTGAAACAAGGAAGCTAGTGGAGGAGTGCAAAAGACTTCAAGCAGAGATTATGAAGTTGACGGATGAAAATCGGCACCTGAGAGTAAGTTCTGCTTCCATGTTTATATTGAAGTGGCTTCACTCTTCTTGATTGAAAGGTCTGGTTTGTAATTAAGTGAAAAGATGTGTATTCCAGAAGGTAGTTACAACTGTTAGAATGTCACGATTGATTTGTAATATGATTTTTGCTGTCCTGCATATACTGTATATTTTGAACTTCATGGTGATCGAGATGTCATGGATGAGATACTGAAGCTACATGATGTTCACCTTCAATGAAATAGTCCTATTTAAGGTGGTTTTAGTTACTTTAAGTCTAAATCGGAGATACCAAATTAGTAGCTTTTAATAAAAGTGCATTACTGTTCATTAAGAATGAGTAAATGAGATGCAAAGTGGTAACATTTTGTATCACAAATTGTTAGTGAACAAGAATGATTGTTTGGCCGGAGGAGGTAAGCAAACACTACTCCAGTACTGTTACGTAAAGATGCCATTTCAGTAACCCGTAACTAGTCAATACATGACTTTATGTGACTTTTCTATATATTTGCTTTTGGGTAGCTGACAATTTCATTGGCCATGGTAGCCTTTTAAAGAACCATGAAATAATGACGTCTCCCCACCTGTCATTCTGATAACAATGAACATTTGGAGAAACACTACACAAAGCAGATGTTTCTCCTTAGCAATAAAGAACTACTGCTATTTAATTCTGCCACATAGTAAGTAAAAGCAGGATTCTTCATTGTGCCTAGCAAGAATTTCAGAATCTTTCTTAACCAGAGCATGGAGAGAGACTAGTGGATTACCTGCCCTTATTTGAAATGTTATGGTTTGCTATGTTCATATTTTTGATTTTGATGTGATGTTATTTTTTTTAAACTTTATTTAAATGTTCAGCAGTAAATTTGGGATTTGAGTTCAGTTTTTACAGTTGTAAAGAAGATGTGTTCATAAATTTTTTTCCATTTGTGTTTGGTTTTTTCCCCCCCGCAGGATGAAGGCTTGAGGCTCAGAAAGGTAGCACACTCGGATAAATCTGGATCACCCACATCTTTGGCCCTCAGAGATAATGGCTCTAATTCTCTTCCTTCACTTCTTGTTGTAATTGCAGCCATTTTCATTGGATTCTTTCTAGGGAAGTTCATCTTGTAGAAAGAATGAGTGAGAGAAGCATGCAAAATGCAGCTTCTTTTTTTTTTTTTTTTTTTCCCTTCTTCCTTGGCCAGAAAAAGATTTGTTTACCTACCACTTCATTGGTGGCTCAAGTGGCCAGTTTTGTGTACAGCATCATAACAGGCTTTGCCTTTAATGATCTTGCACGGTTAGAAAACACAATCTGAAAAGACAAACTGTTCGGCTACTGGACAAAATTGTACATTAAGTCATCAATAGCAGGTGTCAGTTGCACAGTCAGTCATTTATGAAAATTCATAAATAAAGAATTGTTCTTTCTTTCTGTGGTTTTAATAAGAATTCAAAAATTGTTCAGAGTCTTGTAAATGTTATTTTAATAATCCTTTAAAATTTTATCTGTTGCTGTTATCTCTTGAAAAATGATTTATTAGATTGCTAATCCCACTCATTCAGGAATATGACAAGAGGTATTCTGGGGGAAATGGTGCCTCTTACTTGTGTAAATTTTCTCCGTACCTTACCTTGCTAATATCATGGCAGAATTTCTTTCTTATCCCTTGTGAGGCATTGTTGAGAATTCTTCATCCTTACAATCCTGTCCCATGATATTTAACATTACACAAGAAATAAAATTGTTAACAGATTTTTCTGCTGGGTAGCCTGTTTGTGTGTGTCGTACTTTTAGAAGGGATTCCTAACAAGTTCATTGTTCATGGTAATTTGCTACTTGTAACAAATGGCTATTTTGAAGTTTATTTGCTGAAGTCTCTGGCTTAGACTGCTGTAATTGAAGCTTGGCGGGGGGGGGAAGTTTTCTGTTCCATTTGTTTAAAAAAAAAAAAAAAAAAAAAAAGAACAACTGTTTTCTGGCTGCTTTCAGCTACAGAGAGGGTGATTATCAAACTTGTTTAGGGACAGAATGATTTGGATATCCAGCAGGTACAAATACCAGACATGGATGTTTTCAATATATTAACAATTTGCTTGGATTGTGCAGAAGTGTAATAATCAACCTTCTGTTCCATCTTTGGATCTGGGTGTTTTCCAGGAGTCAGCATTATTCTTTGATTTCATAAGGGTACTTAATTCATGTATACTAACTTACTCAATTTGTAATTCTGTTTTAGCAGATATTCAAAAATGCAATTTGAATGATTCAGACACCCATAGTGAATTCCATGATGCAGAAGAGTTGATACTTGCTGAGTGAGCCTCAGTTGCTCACTTTTTGAAAATGAAAATAATTTTTATGCAACTCTTGGCAGATCTACCTGTGTTAACCATGTAGAGCTAAGTTCTAAAGAATGCATTTTTTTGGGGTCTGAAATGCTTCCCTGCACTTAATCTGAGTCTTGCCTCATCTCTGAATATGTCGTAAAAACAAACAGTAGTGTTGGAAAAAAAAATTATCTGTACTTCTGACTAAGCATAATCTAATACAGAGAATTACTTGCAAACTGAAAAACTGTGGAAGGGATATACTCCTGTAAGCAAAATTGTGTATGCTTTTGGACAGCTTGTCTTTGATGTGGTGCAGCTAAGTGTGTTAGACCTTGGTATATGCACACCTTATGTAGCTATGTAGCTGAGAAAAATGTTCTGGAAAAGATGTACATTATCTTGGTTGCCTTTGATTTCTAGTGCTTTTTTTTTTTTTTTTTTTAAGAAAACTATAATTACATCATGTTCTGTCATTGCTCTCTGTGATAAACTTTTTCACGAATCTTGCATATGTGCAAGGAAGATGATGAAGAAAATGCAAATACTGCTTATCTTTTCACTTAAGCATGCAAGCACAGATGTTTCTGATTACTTGTTCCAGTGTCTGCATTCAAGTCTCCTTCCATCCCAGTGACTGGAAAAACCATGTTAACGTCTTGATTATTTTGATTCCGCTGGTTCAGAATGGTGTAATTATCCCAATTTTTTTCTCTAACAGAACATTGCTGCATCAAACTCTCATAGCCTGTTCCAAACTGATTACGTGGAAGATAATGAAAGCAATAGTGTGCAGGATGTATTTTGCTTCAGACAGAGCAGTCATTCCTGCGTTGAAGGGTGTGTGGGGGGAATTCCTTTGGAAGATCTGAAAGTGTTTACAGCACAGGGTACAGAGGTTTTAAAGAGTAGCTAGCACTTCCAGTACTTGAAAAAGGAGTCATTGCTCAATGCAGCTGACTCTGGTTTTGATGTCTGGCAGCAGAAATAAGGTAAAAATAATGATAAAATCAGATTGAAATAATTTTTTCATAAGTAACAAACAGGTGGTGGTAAAACTTGGTCATGGTTTAAGTAATGTCTTTGAAGTAAAATTGTGCAGCGGTCTCATAACCAATGTACTTACTAATGGTATAAGGAGACTGTCTTGGTTTCCAGTAATCCCTTCACGGCTGTATATAAAATGTAATGCTAAAACTATTTTGCTCTCAGGAGCCACTTTGGATGAGATCAACTGTATTCAGTGAATTATGTAATATGGATTAAATTGTTTGTCTTTGTTCCTGAAATGGTTAGAACTTCTTGCTTTGTCTGCCCGCTTACCTATGTATGTAAGCTCGAGGAAATACAGTCTCTCCACTGCTACTAGTGATATGATCAGACAACGATGCCGATAAAGTCATGTGAGGCTAAATGCATAACTTCAGTCAAATATGCATTGAAGGTTGCCCTTCTTATTTCTCAAAAGGGCAAGATGGAACAAGTATACAGTATCAAACTAGTATTTTAAAGTTTTTGTGAATATAGCACTTTAAAAAAAGGGTAATATGATGGTTCAGGGGGAAAAAAATACCTAATTAAATAGAAGATACAGCTTCTGTAGTAATTCTGGGCACCAAATTTAAACCACTTTTTCTTAAATTAACTTATTTTTTGTAAAGTTATTTGTATCAACGCACAATACTCATTCTCTAAAAGCTGTTGACAAACACTGTTGCCCAGGCTTGCATGTTTCTGCTGCTATGATTGAAGCCAATTTACCTATAAGAAGCAACTGAACACTAGCTTGAAACTTCGTTATCCTCTTGGGAGGAGGGAGCGTGGAGGGAGGAGGTGGAAGGGGAAAAGACAAAGTCAATAAGCAAAACTTATCTTTCAGGCCTTCTTCAAAGATATTAAAAGTTGAAGTGTTAATAAACCATTAAAAATGTAGTAGTGTCCTTTTTATTTTGGAACTTCTCCCTGACGATGTACAGTCTGCAGACTGCTGATACTGCACATGCGTATCCAGCCCACCTTGCAGACGGTGTAACCGCCCTGCTTCTCCGTGCTGCTAGCAAACAACGTGAAGCTGGCATGGATGAAGATTCAGTGTCAGAGTGAAGAGCAGGTGCCTGAATCCAGGCAACACTGAAGATGCTGATGGTTCATCAGGTTTATAATAGTCGTTGTGACAAAGAGTTTTCGTTTTCCTGTTTGCAGTCCCTGGGTATCTATGCTTGAACTGACTTGCCAGGGCAAACACTTGGTTCAGCCTCTGGCAAAAGTTGGAATGAGAGCTATGCAGTTACGGACCAACCCTGATAAACATTTACTGTAACACTGAAATGCCCTGCTCTTCATGTTTACAGGTGGGATGAAATTCTGGAGCTCGTCTTTTTAGCCACCTGGCTGTGAATGTAGCGGTTCACTGCTTCGCTTTCTGCGCTGGTTCCTGTGCAGTGGCTTTGTGGGGTGTGTCCTGGAAGGCTCCCTGTATAGCACTGACTATTGCTGCCAAGGAGGCTCTTGTCTGTGCTGATCTTGAGCTTCTGTGGCAGCTTAGTCTGGTGGCACGCTTCAAGAGGGGAGGCTAAATACAGGAGTTGGTTTTCACAAGGATTTGAGCTCCTGTAGGAAAGACTGAACGAAATCTGTCTCATTTAATCTTCAATAGTTTATTTCCAGTCTGAGCTTCTTTTCTAGGGGCACTCAAATAACGTAACCAAGTATATGATCAAAGGTGGTCTGTTGTGTTTTTCTTTTTGAACACAGGTTGCGTATGTTTAAGGAAATATTCCTGATTCTGGTAAGGTTGCATAAGCAGAGGTAGTGATAGCGTCCTCACCTTTATTTATTTGCCCTCTAGGTGACAAAAATGAGGTCTTGTGCAAAAGCAAAACAATTGATTCTTACCTTTTATCTGGCTTTATCATTACTGCTAGATGGTAAGGTCAGTGCCTGTTTTCCTGGGACAAGGGTTTATGTGTTTGCACGGTGAACTGGATCAAGGATCCAGTTTGGATGAAATATAATTTATAGGGAATGAAAGATTTTAACTAAATTGTGGTATAAGCATCTCCCACCGTGTTAAAAGTCCATTTTATTTAAAGCTTGGTGGCAGTTTATGTAATGTTGATAACACTGCCAGCAGGGTATTGAATTCCTGTTTATACAGGAGCTACTGCTCTTGCTGGCAGTGGCAGAATGCTGCTTCTCCCCTCCCTCTTCTTTAGAAAAGATTTAAATGGTGTTACGGTATCCAGGCGCAGAGGCGTGCGACAGACAGCTATTATTATAGTTAAGCAGTCTGAGCTCAGACACTTGAAAAATTAATTGAAAGGTGACTGAAATAGTTATTAATTACCTTTTAAATTTGTGTATAAGAAAAAAACAGTGAGGTTTGGTTTTTTGTTTATAAATCTGCTTATCATCCAAGTTCTGCAAAAATAAAAAAAAGAAGCCATAGTCTGGGAATAGTTATTTCAGGATGTTCTTGAAAGTTTATCTTTCTACTTATGCTGGTGCAGGTTCATGTGCATAGATGAATGAATTCAGAGAGATTTTCACTGGTGATCAGTATCTAGGCTGTTCTGAGAGTGGGTAGTAATTAAATAGCAATGTTTGTGAGTGTCTCAGTCTACCTTGTATGGCAGGATGGCTTATCCTGGCTTTAGAGATGGGGAAACTGAGGCATGAGGGTTGGGACAAATGATTGGGAAGCGGTGGTTTAGGCACACCCCCTGTTCTCTAGCGCACACTCCATCCCATTTCTCATCAAGCCTTCCTTGAGCCTTGTTAAGTCTCTCTTGTTTGTTTGTTGGGTTTCCAAAATGCTTGGAAATTGTTGCTTGGAAATTTTTCATAACCTTTTAAAGCACCTTTCTAAAGACAGCTGTTGCCTTGTCTGTTCCTGAAGGCGAGTGTTAAACAAGCAGAAAATACGGCTGTTGGAGAGGTGTTTAATGGTGGATCGTGCTCACCAGGATTATAATACCTGACCTCTACTAAAGACGGTAGCGGGGGGGAAAGATGCTAAACATTTGGGCATGTTGTGTTTGTAGTCTTGGAACATAAAAGTGTGTCTATGTAGCCAAAAAATTTTTGTGGAGCCAGTGCTGTTCGTACTTTTAAAGTAAAAGAAAACAAACAGTCCTAAGTCTGTACAACTACCGTGTTAATTGGTGGTATATATTGCTCTACCCATGGGAGTGGCAAAGTATTTTTCCATTGCTACTTTGATAGTCCAAATACAAATGATACAGGCATCTATGCTCTGATTTTTGGAGACGCTTCCTTCAGAAAAGCCAAGGACTTCTTTTTTTAAAACCTAAACATGTTTGATCCCTGCAAGCAAAAGTGCTCCAGCTCCTAAAGAGGTTAAATCCACTGATTTGTTTTCACTTGAAATTAGTAAATGCTTTGCTGTTATTCCTGCTTTTCAGA